CGTCGAAAAAAAGACGTCTATATTGACATGTCCGATAGACGTCGAAACTGCACAGTTACTCTTTTATTATTATAAATTTGCACGGCTTCATTCATAAACCAACTGTTGCTGTTATCTCTCAAAGCTATTTCTGTTAATCCAGTAAAGAGGATAAAGGAAAAAAATTAAGGAGTGATTTATTTGTAAAACTTAGTCCATCTGTTTCTAGTGAAATTTAAGGAGTGATGATTTAATTGATTTGATGATACCACGATATAAGCACATAAAACATTTAGCTATAAACCTTAAGAGTTATGCTAGTTAGCTTCATTGGCATAGCTCTTAATTACTGTAACTCCAGCGAGTTTAACCCTTTTTTTCGTCAAAAACCTATAAAATGAAATGTGTTTTTTGTCAAAACAGTGGAGTTCAGCAAGAACTTACCTTTAAGCTGTAAAGATGTTTCTGAATCGATGCTACCAGCTAATGCGAGCTAACGTCTAAAACAAAACAGTTTAACGGAGTTTAGGATCCAGACGGTGGTTTAAAATGTGTGGGACATCTTTGTTTTTCATTTGTAAAGTCCATGTGTCCCAGCAGCTACAGGAAGTAAAGACGAAAGCTGCAGCACTGACTGGTGTTACGCCGAGATAAATATCCCCCAAAGAATTGGAGCTCCTTGTCTCGGGAGCGCGCACAAAGCATGAAAATCCGATTAAAAAAAAAAAACTGCGCGACTAACACTCACAATAAATCAATAAGTACAACTATTTTAATCGAACTATTTACTTTGAGTGACGTCTGTGCGGAGTCATACAGATCCTCCGTTTCAGTTTTGTGCGCGCTCTCGAGACTGAGGCACCTTTTGTGGAATACATACATTTGCGCAACACCGGAATGGGCGGAGCCTAGGGATACATTTCCGGTAGTTTTGGCAGCCGCGAGACCTTACACTTGATTAAAGTTAAGAATGAAAATTGAAGATAAAACATTCTCAGAATTCTATGAGTAAAAGCAAAATTATGAAGTTTGTCTCAGAATTCTGACATTAGTTTAAAAAAAAATCCTCAGAATCCAGAGCTTTTTCTCAGAATTGTGACTTTTTTCAAGATGAATTCTAAAATTAAAATCAAATTTCAGATTTTTCTCAATAGAAGAAAGAGTCAGAATTCAGCTGAGTATGTTTTGCTCTGTGGTGCGTCTCCAATGAGCCATGCTGAGTCCAACTTGTGTTCTGCGTATATTAAGGTCAGGTCTCTCTTGTAAATGAGTCCCCGAGGCTCAATGGGAATTACCTGTATAAATAAAGGTTGATTGATTAAAACTAACACGATGAAATTTTCCCATCCGTCAAACAGCGCCTATATTATTATTATTATTATTAAACTTTATTTAATCAGGCAAATCCCATTGAGATCACAGATCTCTTTTGCAAGGGAGGCCTGGGCCTGAAGGCAGCCTAACATGCATGTTTTTGGTCTGTGGGAGGAAACCGGAGGCCTGGAGAAAACCCATGCAAGCACGAGAAGAACATGCAAACTCCGCACAGAAACTGGGGATTGAACCCAGGACCTTCTGCTGTGAGGCAACAGCGCTGACCACTGAGCCATCGTGCTGCCAACTGATTGATTTGCATCGCTTGTATGACTGAAAATGACAATAAAGGTGTCGATCAAAAAAGGTGACGGTCAAAAAAAAAGTGCTGGTCAATAAAAAAGTTTACTAACCCAGCACCTGGTGGCTGGTGCCATGATCCAGATCAGCGTGGCTACATGTTGGAGTAGCTCTGTAACATTCATTCCGAGTTTTTGTTTTTGAAAACTTTAATTTCTCTTCATTCTGGATGTAAATGACTGTTTTCAGAAGATTATTTCCTCTGATATCAGATGCTGTGCAGCTGGAAGGATTTTTACTGAAACTTTTTTACTTTTGGGCATTTGTTATGATGTGTAACCATAGCAACAAGTTTTTTTTTATCAACCAGGAGCAGCTGATTAACATCTCAAAAGCTCAAATACATTAAGTACAGCCCCAAATCCCAAATGAGTTGAAAAGGAGGCGCCATAGACGAATTCCTGTCAACCTGGCAGCGAGGCTCAAGTACCTGACAGCCAAGATCCTGGAGCTGGTGGGAAACTCGGCTCGTGACAACGGGAGGACCAGGATCATCCCCCGGCACCTTCAGCTGGCGACGAGAAGCTCAGCAGACTGCTGGGAGGAGTGACCATCGCTCAGGGAGGAATTCTGCTCAGCATTTGGGCAGTCCGGCTGCTCAGGAGGACCGAGAGGCCTGCCAGATCTGACAGCAAGTTGGATCTTGGTGGACAGATCGGTATCTGTGGCCAGACTCTTCGGATTAGTTGCAGGAGATCCTTCCTGCCTGCAGCTATCAGCATCTAAGAACTCTTGAATGAAACCAGGATGATGAGCTACAACAACACTTAATTTCCCTTTGGGATTAATAAAGTATTTTTAAATTGAATTGAATTGACTTATTGGCTCTTCCACTAAGATTAAAGCCAGAATTCTGGGGGGAGAAATCCATCCATCTTTACCCGCTTCTTTCTTTTGGGGTCGCAGGGGTCGCCGGTGCCCATGTCCAGCAATCACTGTGCGAGAGGCGGGGACACCCTGGACAGGTCTCTAGTCCATCACAGGGCCGCAACAATTCATTCACACCTAGGGACAATTTAGAGCAAGGGTGTCAAACTTGATTACAAAAGGGGGCCAAAATTAAAACCTTTTTAGGGCCAATTTCAGTATCATCAACTCAAGTTAGGTACCTGACATCTTTTCTTGGTTGCAGGTTCCTCAACAAGAGTTTGATTGGTCTCATTTGATGTTCCCTGCTGCACTTTCTACATCATAAAAAAAAATTAATGTGATGCAAGTATTTTACGTTTAACGTATCATCTTGGGGGCCAGATAAGATACCATACCATTTTATTTATAGAGCACTTTAAACAGCGACAAGGCCAACCAAAGTGCTGTACAAACAGAAACAAACAGGTAAAGCACACAGCAACATATAACATGACATAAAATCTAAATATAGAAACAAAATAATAGCAGATAACATAAAGATTAACACAGTGTGATGCATACAGGTTCAGCACAGATCATACAGTGTTGAAAGCCAGGGAATAGTAGTAGGTTTTTAAGCAGGATTTAAAAACTGGGGAGGGAGCCTGTCTGACAAGTAGAGGTAACTCAGTCCATAGTCTAGATGTCAACGAGGGCCTTGAGTAAGACACGTGATTTAGTTACCAATTAGCATAACATGCATGTTTTTGGTCGGTGGGAGGAAACCAGAGTACCTGGAGAAAACCCACGCATGCACGGAGAGAACATGCAAACTCTACCCAGTCCCAGAAAAGCCCCCCGGACCGGGATTTGAACCAGGGTAACCTGCTCGCTGTGAGGTGAGGCGGCAGCTCTAGCCAACTGTGCCACCGTGCTGCCCGTGGAGAAATCCCAGTGGCCCTAATCCTCTTCTGTAAAACCTTCTACTCCTCACAGTTCAAGAACTTTTACAGTCTGACTTGTAGTTTTCCTCACAGTCGCTTTTTTTATTTGAGGCTTGCCTTTCAGTCTGTATTTTCTGTCTGCCTCTCATTTACTTGTAGACAAAGATGTATGGTTACCATGGTGACCGTTGCCAGGCAGCAGCATTTTACTCTAATTTTCTGTTCATACATCAAAATGCTGACATTTTTTTCTTAGCTTAGATTGCTACAGAGTCGTGTGGACTTTTTGAGCTGCACCCTTCGACATTTTTTCAGCAACGTTTAAAACCCGCAGCATTAGCATAAACTATGCTACTAGACACGCACTAAATCAAAGCCATCTTTCTGAGAGCTACCCGAGCCTGCACTGCCCACCCAGCCGGATCTGGTGTGCTGACGTGTCGGCTCCTGCTGCTCGTGCTCCAGCGGCTGAGCGGAGAAGAAGCCAGAGGCTACACACAAAAAAAAACTGCCAGCATGGCAGCAAAGCATTTTTACCGACCGGGCATTTTATTACTTTTATTTAACCTGGTGTCAAGCACAGCCTTGGAGAGGAGGTTCTCGGACTTTAAAAGATGCGCCGACGAGGAGTGCAGCAGTAAGTTTTCTTGCTCAGCTCATCAGGGATCTCTCTCCACTCATCCCCTCCGGATACCCGCAGCTAACCATAAACGGCGCCTTATCTCTTGACCTGTTGCCGGTCGATAATGGCCGACCTTGACTGCCTCTTTATCCCTGAGCCGTCTAGCTGTACGGTACCGCGGAAACCGAACGAATTGGCGTTAACTTTGGTTTCATGTTCCTTAAATAATTAGTTTGACCGTTTCTGGTGGGAGCTCCGGCCTGCTTCGCTGGGCGAAAGCTAAAGCTAATGTTAGCATCACATTAGCCACCTGCCGGCTTCGCCAGCTAAAAGTGTAAAGCTAAGTGAAAACAAATCACTTAATTTGAGACCAAATCACCCTGTCACAACATCCTCATGTATATATTAACAATGAAGAAATGAAACGCGCGACAACAAGCTAATGCAGATTTTATACTACTCATTTCTAGTGGGTTATAAAATGCTAATTCCATGATGAGATGTTTTTTTATTTGTGTCTTGGGGACAGCTAGTTTACGCCATAAACATCGTACACATCCGCATATAAAACCAAGATACTGCAGCCTCGATGTCAAAAAGTTGATCAGCTTCTGCTTCACAGTCGCTGATGTAAACACTTCATCAAAGTGACATTAAATCACTTAAAAACAGCCGACTAGCTTTGATAACTGTTGACATGTCATACACACTGCACAGGTACAGGCAACTTTTTTATTTGGGTTGCTGTGTCGGTTTTTGGTCTATTCTGTGTTGCAGCTGAGTAACTTCCCTGTCAATAAACGGTCAAATAGTTGTTGAACTCTCTGTTAAATAATTTCAGGCTAAAATGCCAAAAAAAGAAAAGGGAATACTCACTATGGATCTGGGGATGAGTGTCTCAAGCAGAGAATCTAGGACTATTGTTCACAAGTGACAGTTGTCAGTAATGAGGATGCTGTTCTGGTCTGTTGTGAAGGAGCTGAAAGGATTTACTGGCCAGTGCATGTTCCAACCCATACATTATGGTCCAAGATGTGTGCAAGCGTCTGAAATTCCTCCGAATGGTGGCCAGGCTCAGCCTCGGATATTAGGCGAGGCACTCCATCATCCAGGAGAAGCTGGGAGTTGAGCCGCTGCTTCTCCGTATTGAAAGGAGTCAGCTGAGGAGATTCGGGTACCTGATTAAGATTCCGCACGGACGCTTCCCTTTGGAGGTTTTTCAGACACGTCCCACAGGAGGGAGTATGGTGGCCGACGGGTGCAAACGAGCTGCAAACAGCTAAATGTGCAGCAAACACACGAATGATGCAAACTCCAAAACAAATGCAAGAGAAAAACGTTGCAAAAGAAAAAAATCTGCATAGAAAATGGAAGATTAAAAAGCATACAACCAAAAAAACAAATGCTGCAAATACCAAAAACACTAAATCTGCAAGTAAGAAATGCTGCAAACTCGATCCAAAAAACCGGAAGTGCACCAGACCACTGGGGGACTCGACCACCATGTCATGGGTCCAGAACCCCTGTAGACACATCATCACTGAGCGATCACTTTCTAAAGCCATATTATTCTTATAGTATGCAAAAATATCTAAAATCTCTCAACTAGAGAGGTTTTGGTAATGTAAGAAAACAAAAAGTAGCTACAGTACTGTTCAAGGTAAAGTAAGGCATAAAATTAAACGTTGACAAGACAATGACTTGGGAAAACCAGAGACATTATATTAAGAGAAACATGAAAAAGAAAGCATTAGATAATTTTGCCACGGTATGAAATTGGCAAAACAAGCATTAAGTCCATCTAACAGGCACATTTTTACGATCTGCCAATGTAAAGTAAAAATACTCCCAATAACTACAATGTATGTGTCTCTGTCACTGATATTAGCGTTTGGATAAGTATGAAAGGTCTCTAGTAATTTATAGAACAGGCTAGTTTTTAAAACTATATTTTCAACCAAGTTTACTAATCTTTATGAAGTAAACATTTACTGACAATATTGTGGATTCATTAGGACAAAAAATGTTTTTTAGATACTCTTGGTGCATTGCCAAAACAGTGATATTTAGATATTTAGTTTGCATCATTCATGTGTTTGCAGCACCTGTCGACCACGGTAAAGGAGACCCCAGAGACATACTTTAAACTAGCTAGATTATAATCTTCTCTAACCTGGGAAGATCTTGTGATCCCCAGGAGGAGCTGAAGAGGTATATCTGGTAAATCTTCTGCAACCCAACCACAGTGAAGCAACATCAAACGGATTAATAAATGCAATCCCAAAAATTGATTGCAGTGAAATTTAGAAGGGCAGTAATGATTTTACATGTTGTTCTAAACATTTCTAGCTTATGCATTGTTAAACTTGGAAAAAATTGTAACAATAATAAAACATGTTTTGCTTTTCCAGTGCTCCTGTGTCGGGGAAAAGCTGTGAAAGATTTCTCGGGACCTGATTGTAGGTTCCTTTCATTCAAGCAATCTGAAACTGTTTATGTTTACTACAAACTTTCTGGAAGAAGGGCTGACATGTGGGCAGGAAGTGTAAGTATACTTAAGTATAAACATTTCTGCTAAATTTGTCATCGGGATTGATTTAAGTTGTTTGAATAATGACTAGGCCTGTCACGATAAACAATAAATCAATTAATCGCACGATAAATTAAAATTATCAACTTCATTTTCATTTATCGGCTTTATTGTTTCTTTGTGTCTCTCTCTTTCTAGTGAAGACACTGGATGACAAAAAGCTCAACTCCAGTGCTCTTCACTGGCCCCTCCCTTTTTCTTTAAAATCCATTTTAACCATCCAAAATCGCGTTTTTGGATCGTTAAAAGCATCTAAGCTGAGAAGCTAAGCTACGAGCTAAGCTAACAGGCCGACCTCTGGAAAAAACCTCCGTCTTGTCGAAGCTCCAAAATTCACGGTTGAAACCCGTGCCTTTGTGTAAAAAGTTGTTTTTCTCTGCAAAAAGAAGCTGAGAACTTGTTTACTGATTTAAAAATATATATTTTTTATTAAAAGCTTTGTGTGACAAATGCTATGCTAAAGAGCTCAAACCACATCGAGCATCCGCCATTTTGAGAATAAAGGAAGGAGAGACGGCCCTGTCATTCCCCAATCTGTTACGGAAGCACGATCCGTAGTGTACTTCCGGGTTGCACGGATCGCCCTTGTTTATGAATAAAAACTGTCTTAATTTACTTAGAAAAGTGCACGCTCTACCTCCACC